GGTAATATGCAGAAACATACCCTCATGAAAATTGTGAAGAGTGAACATGCCAAGGGGAAGCAGCCTTCTAGGCGATGCCGTGTTTACACAGTACACAACAAAAGGAGTATGACTGTCTACATGTGCAAGTTCTGTGTAATGAAAATTCACAAAGGGGAATGTTTCCAGAAATATCACACTCTCAAGCACTTCTAGGAGCATTGGTAAGTGTTCTCCAAAAATTTTAGTTCATAAAATTAATTAGGAGATTTTATATTAATTTTTAAAGTGAACAGTGCACAAGTTAGGGTAGTAGGTTTACAAATGCCGGTCCGCAAGGTGATTTAAATATTTAAATTGCCAGTCCCCAAAGTGTTGAAAGGGTTTAGTCTGGCCTTCTTGTACTGCTAGACACAGACATATTTACCAGCAACTTTTCAGCTGTTTCCAGCATGGTTAGAAATTCTTACAGAACCTTAAAACACTCTTCAGGTTTTTGTTTGGAACATCTTCTAACAAAGGAAATCTTACTGACTACAGCAGTTCATTTCATTGATGATGTGCATGGCGAACAAGCTCCTCACAGAACTTCTTTTTGCACCTACCTGTATGTAACTGTATATAGAATGGAAGGCAGTTTGTGTAAATCATATGAAGTGATCGACTTGATTGCGTATGAGTGATTATAGATGGGGTTTTGGATTGGATATCAGATTTATAGCCCACTTACAAGTCATAACTACAGATAACTATAACAATAATGCCATTTCCACACTTTACAGTATCATGCTAAGTCTTTTCCAGACCTCAGTGTCTTCACTAGTAGTTGCCTGGTAATGGCTTGTAACAGTAGATTCTTCACCTTCCGCACCCAAGTCCTCTCTGAATGGAGGCTCCCTTCCAAGTGCCTCTTTTCCTCACAGACTCCCTTACAAAACAGCACTGAACTCGTCAGAGTCAGAGACTATATAACTGGCTACAAGTCCCTTGAGACTCATGACCAGTGATTTTATTTTCCAACTAAACACTTGAGGTAGATGTAAACGTCTGTGTATTTAGTCCGTCAATAATGCAACAATCAGTATATTCACCATTCAACACCAACGCGTGTTTCGGCCATAGACAGCCATCCTCAAGTGTTTCTGTGTGTCTAAACTGTTAACACTGCTTTGATGCGTGCTAAAATTGCACGTTGCAGTCCACTTAAATTAAAATCTTTCATAAAATTCTATCCACATCGTAAAGGGCATCATCCACTCATTTAAAGCTATGTGATGCGTGTTTTCCAGACAGTTTTTTCAGCAGCTACATCTGTGATCTGCAATATACCCCTTGTTTGTGTGTTGTTCCCTCATGGACTAGCTAGTTGCGCACATACATGGATAGGGTGCACTGCAATCTCATATCTTAACAAACAGAAAGAGCAGCAATGACATGTACCAAACACATAAGGTAATGTGCTCACTTTCCTTGCCCTTTGTTGAGCGACACTTTCTTCTCTAACCGCCCTTCACTCACCTTCACTCCCTCTTGGTTGGTTAGCCACACGTTCGTCGCTCCTCTCCTTTCTTCTTTTTAGGTTGGGCGCCAGTAAGCTCAGGTGATGTCGGCTTACAATAGTCGTAGGTTTATTTTGGAAAGGGGTTAGAGGTGATAGTTAACTAGTTCAGCTGTGGGTAAGGCTGAGATCCTACTCAAAGCATTTGATAGGGCCTCGCTCAGGACGAGGGGGTAGTAGTTGGTTCACTGCTACTTTGCACTTAAACACTGTGATCATTTATTGATATCAACACTTTCCTTCACCTGATGACACACACACAGTCAATATAAAGGACGCTTGTATATAGGTCCTGATATAGCTCAGTCCTGGTATAACGGACTTTAGCACTTTGAATTTGGGTTTGTCCAGACAGCGGAGATACAGATTTTGTTTCTAAATTTTTCACGAGTTAGCAGGCCACTCACTTGGCGACTGGCTTCTCTGAAAACACTGAGGTCCCTTGGACGTCAGTTCCTCAGCTAAGTCACTCCCCCTTAATTCCACTGATTGGGTAATTTTGAAAATTATGAGTTCACACAATTTCTGGATCTCCAATCAGCTAGCTGTAGTTTGGGACTTTGAACCTTAAAGTCCTAACGTTTTTGACAGCACACTGACGGATAGCCTGCTTGACGTGGGTTTCAAAAACGCCTTTTAAGTTACGCTGTGCAGGACCTGTCAGTGCTCGAATTCTCAAAGTTTGCTGCCATGCTACTTGCAAACAAAATTTCTAAGAAAAAGCCACAGGGGTGCTTCCTGTGTAACAGTAAGATTTGGAAGAGCTCCATTCCTGCAAACAAGAAGGTGACTATGTCCCACTGGCTTAATTATTGTTATCTGCAATTAATTTTTGTTACTGATGATTCTAATTATACTTAAACTAGTGAGCGATAGTGGAGCGGTTACAGTAAGGACTGCAGACACTGACAATCAGCGCCCCCTTCCCCACAGGGTATGATGGGAACTCTCATGGCATCTTTAATAAATAGTGGGTCTCATAAGAATGTGCTACAGAAGTCCGGATGGGCATTGCCTAGGTCTTTTTTTAAAAACGGCTTAGGCAATGCCCATACATGGATAGGGTGCACTGCAATCTCATATCTTAACGAACACATTCTTATAAACGTCTTATTCTATAATAGTGGTCTTCTAAGAACGGGCGTTGTCCTGAAGCAGATAACTTTGATGAGGAGGATGAAGAAGGGGAGGATTCTGACTCCAGTGATTTTATAGTCGATGATGGGTTGCCTTTTGCAGACAGAAGGGAGAAGTGAGACCCAATATTTATTAAAGATGCCATGGGAGTTCCCATCATACCCTGTGGGGAAGGGGGAATTGATTGCCAGCGCCTGCAGCCCTTACCTGATGTGTTTGGTATGTGTCATTGCTGCTCTTTCTGTTTGTTAAGATATGAGATTGCAGTGCACCCTAT